AATCAGGAAGAACTGCATTAAAATCTGGCCTCAGACACTATGTGACCCTGGGCAAGTCACTTAACTTCTTTTGTTTGCCTCAGTTTCCTCAACTGTAAAAGGGGGATAATAATGACACTCAGCTTATCAGGTTGTTGTGAGGACAAAATGAGATTAATATTTGTAAAAAGCACTTACTACAGTGCCTGGCACATCGTAAGCACTACATAAATGTTTATTCCTTTCTTTTCCCTGCTTGCTGTTGCTGGAACACAGAATTCTCTTATCTCCATGCCCTTACACAGGCAGGCTCCCATACTATCTTAGGAATTCATTCATGGCAGATTCACTCATTTTTGAGATGGGAAACAGTGTGGAGGCTGTAGTAGTAGAGTGCTGGCCCTAAAATCAATTGTTGATGTTCATTTGTTTCAGTCGTGTCTGACTTTTCCTGACCCCATTGGGATTCTCTTGGCAAAGATACTGGAATGGTTTGTCATTTCCTTCTCTGGCTCATTTTACAGATGAGGAAACTGAGACAGTTAAGTGACTTGTCCAGGGTCACACAGATAGTAAGTGTCTGAGGCCAGATTTGAACTTGCGTCTTCCTGACTCCTGGCTCAGCGCTCCATCCACTGTACCCTCTTATGTACAACTGTGCCTCTAAGTCACTAATATGATACTCCCTGATATGAGAGACTTTAGATGGAACTCAGGACTGGAATGTGACTCTGGAAGAATATGTCTTCTTTAAAAGGAACTGAATATAAAAAAGGAATTACATTATACATTCTGAATGTAAGCAGCGCGAGGTAGTGGAAAGTAGGAAATTGGAAGTTGGAAGACTTGGGTGCACATTGAGGCTCTGTTTGGTCCCTTAATCTTGCTGGGCCTTGGTTTCCTCATATAAATATTGTGGAGGTTGGATTGATGCTCTCTCAGGATCCATCAAGCTCTAATTCTGTGATCCTATGAAGAAGATTATACCCAGCTCAGAAAATCCAGGAACCTAACAGGGCATATATGGTGGAAGGCGTTGGAGTGAGGATCAATGGAAAGAGATATAGAAGTATACCTCCATGGTGTAGGTATATTACAAATCAGCTAGAAAGAAGAAATTAGAGGAGATAGGCACACTGATATACAATGGGTCAAGGTAGGAAATGATGTAACTATTCTAAGATGAATTTGGAATTATTTAAGAAAATAAATTATTCATACTCTTTAACTCAGCATTAGATTTACAATTAACATATACCCCCAAAAGAGGCCAAAAACACAAAGAAAGGCCCCATTTATACTAATATATTCACAGTAGGACTTTTGTGGCAATTATGGAAAAGTAGGTACCCTTTGACTAAGGAATAATGGAACAAATTATTATGTGTGAGTGTTGTGGCATATTATTGCACCATAAGAAATGACAAATAAGAAGAAGTCAAAGAATTTTGGGAGAATGTGTATGAATTGCTGTAGGCTCAAGAAAATAGGACCATGAGAACAGTTCCCAGTTCCCAGAGTAAAAGACAATAATAGGAACATTAGAGGTCAGATTAATGTGATGACTTAATTCTAGAGCAATGTTGTCAAACTCAAATAGAAATAGGGCCACTAAACCATACATAAGGATCCCTGCTGACCCTGTTTTGACTTAGTTTTTTTAAAAGTTTGTTTAATATTTTATTTTTACCCCAATTACATATAAAAACAATTTTTAACATTCATTTTTAAAAAATTTTGAGTTCCAAATTCTATCCCTCCTTATCTTCCCTCCCCCCTCATTGAAAAAGTGAGCAATTTGATATAGATTATGCATGTGCAGTCACGCAAAATACATTTCCATATTAATGACTTAGTTTTAATAAGTAACACAATTGAGACAGCTAGGTGGCACAATGGATAGAAGTTTCCGGGCCTAGAGTCAGGAAGACCTGAGTTCAAATCCAACCTCACATACCTACCAGCTAAGAGACCCTGGGCAAGTCACATAGACTCTGTTTACCTTAGTTTCTTCAACTATAAAAAAAAAAAATACACAGAAGTAGGAGAAGGAAAAGACCAGGGGTCAAATAATCAAAGTCAAGAAATGAAATTAAGATGTATATATTCAGAATGAGGTGAAGTTCCTTCATGAAGAAGGTTACTGGAAAAAATAGGCCCTTTAGCTTCATCCTGGAAGATGGGAGGCATGGAAGTCATGGTAGATAAGGGAATGAAGGCTAGCTGGGGATGACTGCACAAATCTGCCCCCATTCTGCCATAATCTCTGATGCGTTCTGCTCAAACTTTGGCAAAATGGCAACTGAATTTGTTGGCTTTGTCTTACGCAACCTAGAGGCCTTGGTAATGTTAGTGGGTCAGGGGATTCACGTGTTACATAGCTGTTTGTGTTTTATCTCCCTATTGGCCATAAGCTCCTTGATGACCCTGAGGATCATGTATGATCTAAATGTGCATTTCTCTAAATGCTGAGCTTGGTGATTTACACATAGTAGGTGCAGCATGGACCTAGGAAATGCTGCATTGGTATTGTGGGTACTTAGGGACAGTTGCTCACAGCGAGACTCAAAACCAAGTCTTCTGATTCTTTCTCATTGCTTTTCCCACTAGAGTACTCCATTCTTCTCTGATTCCTTAGCTAGTATCCTTCCTGGGGACATTAAACCTGGAAAGGAGAGGATTTAGGGGAGATGTGATCGCTATCTTCAAATACACCACAGAATCACAATTTAGGAATCAAAGGGGAACTCAGAGGCCATTTAGTTCACCCACCAGCCACACCTGAAAGAGAAGCCCCTGTAGAACACAGACAGGAAGAAGTCACCCTGTCTCTGCTTGAAGGCCTGCAGACGTAGCCCATTCCACTTGGGGGCAGTTCGAAGGTTTTTTTCTTATCCCAAACCTGAACTTGCCCCTTGGCATTTTCACACTTTGCTCTTAGTTCTGCTGTCTGAGCTAGGGCAGGGAGAACCAGTCTGATCCTTCTTCCATGTGATGGCCCTACAAATGCCTGAAGACAGTCACTTATTCCTAAGGCTCTGCCCCATGCCAGTTGCCATCCTCAGCAAATGGAGGCAGCTAAGTGGTACAGTGGCTAATCAGTGGGGCTGGAGTGTGGGAGATCCGAGTTCAAATTTAGCCTCAGACACTTCCTAGCTGTCTGCCTCTCCCAAGCCCCCTGAAGTCACCCTCTGTTTTCTTCAATTTTCTTCAACTGTAAAATGGGTCTCACAGCACCTACCTGCAGGGCTATTTAAAGATCAAATGAGATAATATTGTTGCCTGGCCCATAGTAGGTGCTATATAAATGCTCATTTCCTTCTCTTTCCTTCCCCATCCAAGTTGCCATGCCCAGTAGGAGCTGTAAATTTATCAAGAATTTTATAATGTGGACTGCAGTTTGGAAGAGGGAGTCAACTTGTTCCATTTGGACCTAGAAGGCAGTAATAGTAACGGTGGGGGGATGTTTCAGGGGGGCAGATGTTGACTTATTGTGAGGAAAAGAACTTCCTCACAATTAGAGTTGTCCAGAAAGAAGTAGTGAGCTTCCCATTCTTAGAGGTCTTCAAGCAGAGACTGTATAACCACGTGGGATATGCTGGAGGGAGGATGTGTAAGTTGAGCAACGATGGGCTAGATGACTTCTGAAGTCCCCTCCAATTATGTTTGTTAGTCTATGATACTAGCCTAGAATATACTGAAGTCCATTCCATTCCATTCATACCTCTGTCCTGCTGAATTTCTGTTTTTGTCCCTCACTTAAGACTTTCTTTCTGTTATTTATTTCTGAAAAAGCCTAATTCATTCCAGAAGTTCTTCTAATGTATTTTTCATGACTCTCCACCAGAGTCACGCAGCAACTTATTTTTCCCTCCCCATTTGCACATTGTGCCCAGAAGCAGAAGGCACTGGAAGGCAGGATGCTGTTTAGCCCCTACATGTGTCCCTATCATGTACAAGGTCTTCATCTTCCTCAAAGTGGTTGATGACACTGTATGACTAATGAACAGCAGCAGAGGCAGCCTCAGATTAAAAAGCATAAAATCTAAGCTGCGAAGGTACTTTTGAAGCATGTCTGCTTTTCCATATCCCTAGTACATTTCACAGCGTGGAGAGAACCTGGTCAAGGCACTTGCCATAACTCTAGTGTGACTAGCAATACTAATATATTCTCCTTTGCTGCATTTCATTTTTTTCCTTTATAAAATGAGAGTTTTTAAATATTTATTTGTTTTTTTATTTAAGATTTCCTTCTCGGTGTTCCCTCCTAGGTTCTACATTCTTTTTTTGTTGTTCAGTCATTTTTCAGTCATGTCTGACTCTTTGTGACCCCATTTAGGGTTTTCTTGGCAAATATACTGGAGTGGTTTGCCATTTCCTTCTCCAGCTCATTTGACAGATGAGGAAACTGAGGCAAACAAGGTCAGTGTTATTTGCCTATGGTCACACAGGTAGTGTCTGAGACTAGATTTGAACACAGGAAGAGGAGTCTTCAGGTCCGGTGCTCTGTGCACTATGGCTCCACTTAGCTGCCCTTCTACATTCTTAAGGCTCTTCCATCTCTAATATTCTATGCGTTATGGTCCCTTGTGATATTGTTAGCCCATGATTCTTTACATGGGGCTATACGCCTTCCTGCACAGCATTAGAGGGTCACCTTCTCTTCATGAAAAGTGACATGGCAAGTCCTATGTACCCCTTCCAGGTAACTTTAAGGAAACTTATACCAGCATTACACTCAAAGACTGAAGGAAGGTTTTCAAATCTGTCTTTCCAGAAGGAAGCAGGAATAATACCCTTCTGCATGTAAAAGGCAAAACCAGTCCTGGTAGAAGAGATCAGTCGGCAAACCTAATGAGTTACCCCAAGGGCCATCTGCAAGAAGCTCTGGCTCTGTAGCAGACATTGGGGATGCAGGATTCCTGGGACCTAAGCTTATGGGTTTTCAAATCTAGGAGGCTGACAAGGACTCTGATGCTAGCGAAGAAATCTCTCATTCTCCCCTTTTCTCTTCTGTTTAGGGAGCAGCTCTTTTTCCCCTGAGACTCTTCCCAGCACCCTCAGGTTGGTATAACGTGGATGCATGTTTGGGTAGGAGGGTTTTTGTTTTGTCTCCTTTGGAAACTATGCTAAGGAACCCACATTTAAACTTGAGCTCTTTTGGTGGGGTAATTAAATTAAAAACTCAAAATCACTAATTGTGGCTTATACACCTGGACTTGAAATTTGACCAGTTTGATTTGGCCACCGAAGGACTCCAGGAGTGGAGCAGAGGGGATTAGAATGACAGTGGGGTGGATGACATACAGAGAAGGATGGGATGGTGTGGTGGGAAGCACACTGACAAGGCCAGGGGAATTCAGAGGAGCCCCCTTTCACCTTCATCCACCTGCAGGCTTCATGTTCTTAACAGCAAAAAAAAAATGTGCATGATGGCAAAGTTTCTAGTTTTGAGATCCCAAGATTCATTAAGTCTATGGCTATTATTTCTTTAAATTTTTTCTAGTTCTAGTTCCAAATTTTCTCCCTCCTTTTTGCTTATTCTTTTTAAAAGCATTTAAGTGCCTACCTGGTGTACTGTGTACAAGTTAGTGTTTATAGAACTATAATTCCATGACCCCATGACTATGATTCTAAGATTCTTTGACTTTGTCATTTCTACTTCCATGATTCTAATTTTCTATTATTATGATTGCGACATTTTAACTCTTATTCTAAGGTTCTAGGACCCTAGAATTCTATTACTTTTAGAATTTTATAATGTTATAGTTTTGTGACTCTCTGATTCCAAGATCTTGTAGTATGATGATTCTAAGATTCTATGACTATAGTTATAAGATTTTAGAGCTCTGTGATTTTAAGATTCTATGACTTTGTGATTCTATGATGCTGTGGCTCTGAGTCTATGTTTCTGTAACTGGGGTTTTATGATTTCATGGTTATGTGGCTCTAAACGTTGATGTGGCTATAGCACTCACCCCACATTTTCCCTTGTCCATTCCCAGAATATGGAAGAGACTGTGGATATTTTATGTTTACCACTTTTGATTTTGAAGATTCTTTTTTTTTTCCAAGTCTTTCATTCCGTTAATGTTGGGACACTGTGTATCTTCTATTTTAACTCCCATTACTTCCATATGTATATGTACATCTCGGGGAAGGGCCTAGTGTGGTGTTGGTGGCTGCTTAGAGAGAAGAAACCTCACGTCTCTTGTGACATTGGTTTCAAGATTCAGCCTGACTTGTCAGGAAAAATACAATGACCTACTCTGAAGTTAGGATGATGGCAGGACAGTATGATGGAAAGAACTCTGGAATCAGGAGACATGGGCTTCAGCTGCAGCTCTGTCACTGTGTCACCAAGTGACTGGTAGCCTGAAAAACCCTCCGGTTCTTTTTTTGGTGGGGTTAGCCCTTTGTGGTAGGCTTTCTCTTCTCTATGCCCTTTGTCTTGAAGCTCTATGCCTAGAAACTTCCAAGTCCCCTTCCACCCTGCTATTTGGAGCCTCTCTGCTTGTGACATTGGAGGTGGGAAACCAACCAGACAAACCTGAGTGATATCCCAACCCTTCCTATAAAACATATGAAAGCATCATGGTGCAGTGAAAAGAGCATCAGAATGACCTGGGGTTGAATCCTGTCTCTGCTACAAACTAGCTGTGTGACCTTGGGCAAGTCTTAAGTTTTCTGGACTCTGGTCAGTTTCCTCATCTGTAAAATCAGCTCTTTCAGCTCTAAATACATGATTCTATGATCATGTCTTGTGATACCCAGCTCTTATCTGCATCTCCAAGCTGCCCTTCAGAGACTTGGAGAGAGTTATGATGAGGGACAACCCAGTGCCCATATCACACTAGGAGGAGTGATGAGAGCCTAGCATTACTTGAGTACTGGGTCCACATGGGTGCTCAATCTCCTTCCTTTCCAAATGACTTGGAGTTGAAACTTTCCATAAGTGTTGTCCTCCCCATTAGAATGTGAGCACTTTGAAAACAGGGATTATTTTTATTTTTCAGTGCCTGGTACAGCACAGTACTTTGCATGCAGAAAGTGCTCACTAAATCTTCATTCATTCATTCCTCCTCTTGCCTTAGCTTCAAGAACACTTTACCCAAGGCCCCATCTTCCCCATTATCTGAGTTGCAGGTGTATCTGGTCTCTCTGGAAATCCTACCGTATCCTTGTCCCTCAGGGGAATGTGATCCTGATGGTACCTTGTCCCATCTTCCTTCTCCTTCTTGTATCCCCTCCCCACTCACCCAGTGACTCAAGTCAGGTACCTTCCTTTGTGTGAAATAAAATGTGCTTCAATGAAGCTTTATTGCTTATAGCATCAGTGGCTCAGACTGTCTAGTCTTGTGGAAATCTAAGTCCTCTCAAAGTCAAGTGTGGGTTGATGAAGTTGGATTCCTACTTCAGGACCTTGGGTTCTTCATTTACAAACTGCATATAATGATACTTGTCTATTTACAGGACTGTGACTATCTTAGAATTACAAGGTTTTTAAGGAAATCAGATATCTAGTCCTGCCTATTCCAGGAATGCCCTATATAATATCCTGGATGAATGATCTCTGCTTGGAGACTTCCAGCACTGGAAACTTACCGTGAAGCAGCCCATTTCATTTTTAATTGCTTTAATCAATAAATCAAGAAAAATTTAAGCATTTGGCACATACAAGGCCTTCTGCTCAGCCACTAAGGAAGTACGTGTGTATCTGTTGCTTGTGAAGGTTAAATAGAATAAATGCTAATTATCAGTAAATTTTTATTCTATATCCAGCCAAAATCTTCTTTGTTGTTGTTTATCTATTATTCCCAGTTCTGATATCTGGGGCCGAGCAGAACATGGCAGCCTTTCAGAGACTTGGAGAGAGTTATCATTTCTTAATCTAAAGTCTTCTGTTCTCTGAAAATCTATAAAATGAGCTAATGTCTGCAAAACCCTTTTTGTAACCATAAAAATACTACGTGAATATGAACTGTCACCATTATGATTAATATTACATGGAGTTGAGTACTAGATCCCTCAGCAGCATTTGCCTCCCCTCCTCTCTGCGTCTGCACGTTATTCCTCTGTCTGATTCCTCGGTTCCTTTGCTTAATCATCATCCGTGTCATGCTCCCTAATTGTCACTGTGTCCCAAGGCTCTTTTTTTCTGGGCCAACCTCGCTTCTTCTCTATACATTTCCTTGGTGACTACATCATTTCTGCTGATGACCCCTAGATCTATAGATTCAGCTCCAGTTTCTCTTTTGAAGTTTAGTCCCACATCAGCAAATCATTGTTGGACGTTTTTGAACTGGATGTCCTGGAAACATCTCAAATTCCACATGTCAAAAACAGAACTCATTTGTTTTCTCCCAAAATATTTAATGTTGAGCTCACTCTTCTCCTTCCAGTCCCCCAATTTTGGTGTAATCCTTGACTCCTCACTCTAATTCCCACACCACCCCCAGTATCCAGTCAGCTGCTAAATCATCTTTTTGTTTCTCCCTCCACAGCATCCCTTGCATGTGTCCCCATCTTTCCACTTACACAGCCAACAACCTTCTTAAGCACCTCATCACCTGAACTACTACAATAGCCTTCTAACTGGTCTTCATGCTTTAAGTTACTCCCCATTCCAACCCAACCTCCACACGGCAGCCATGGGTATGACCATGTCACCCCCTTGCTCAGTGACTCCCACGGACTCCTGATTTGGCACCATCCCCTCCATGGTGCCACTCTATGGTCTAGTCAAGATGACCTTGGTGCTGTTCCTCACCCATGACACTCCATCTGCTGTCCCTGTGCCTTTGCAGTGACTATCCCCCCAGACCCAGAATATACTCTACCTTCAGGGGCACTCTTGGAATCCCAGGTTTCCTTCAAGGCTCACGCTTCTGTATAAGGACTGTCTTGGTTCCCCTATGACCACCAGCTGGTGCCTCCCCCCCCCCCGCCAGCTTCCTTTTATGGCTTTATTGTGTAAATTTACCTATACATGTATATGCCTATTGACATTTATAGGTTTATATATACACATACACAAGGTATACACACATATGGATAAACACACTAAACACAGATATATGCATATAAGTATATATAGATATTCACATTTATAAGTATATATACTTACAAGATACATATATATTTCTGTATATATGTATGGGTATATAGATACACATATATGTATGTATACATATATGTATACGCATACACACCTTTACTTATGTATCATCTCTCCCACTGGAATGTAAATGATGTAAATGTAAATGTATGTAAAGAGCAGGGACTCAAAAGTTACTTTGTGTGGTTCTGTGGCATGTTTACCCATATATATGTATACCTTGGATATGTTTATTGTACATAAAATATATTCACAAATATATAAATATTGGATATATTGTGTGAATGTGTGTGTATATGCAAATACACACACATAGATATATCTGGCAAGAGTGAAATGGAGTACAGATATGTATGTATATGGATGTGTATATGTGTATACATGTATGTACGTGTGTACATATATACATGTACATATGTGTGTATATGTGTAGCACTTGAAAGCAAGGACCATTTCACTCCTGTTAATATGCCAGTGCCTAATACAGTGCCCAGCACATAATAGGTACTTAATAAACGTTCTTAGAAGGGCCAAATAATAATGAATAAACCAAGGTTGACTAAAACTTACCCTGGGCTCACGTAACTGGGGAGACAACAGAAGAAAACATGGTTCCTGCTCTTAAAAAGCTTAGGATGTTTTTGGACAGTCAAAACTAATACACGTGAACTAATTAGAGAATGACTCCCAAAAGGAAGTGATTAAGCGGTCAGTTGTGCCACTGAGGCAGATTCTAAGGGCTCTTGGGAGTTCCTGAGTGAGCAAGATTGGTGAGAATTTTATTACTTAGAGGGAGCTTTCTGGATGACTTGAGCTGGGCCATGAAGAGCAGGTGGCATTTGCTGAGTGTGTGACCACATTTGCATAGGTATCCATTTGTCCCCCATGTTCTCCCTATGGTGGTGTAGGATGGTGTTTTACACTTCTTCCTTCTTCTCCCTTGCAT